GTCCCTTCAGTGTGGTTTCCTGACTCAGTCAGCTGCTCTGCTGCTCTGGCCATGGGGTCCCACCTCTGGCTCCCTGAGTGCTCCCGTGGGCAGGATAAGTATCACTGTGGGGCCGAGGGGGCTGGAGGTGCCTGTGCCATGGGGCATCTCACCCCTGCCTGCACCCACGTGGGGATGCTGCCACGGCCCATTCCCTGTGCCACCTCTTTCCTTCTCAGCCAACTTCTGCTGGCTTTGCCTTGCCAGCTCCCAGGATGCTCCAGCTCCCTCACACAGCCTGTTGGAGCAGCGTGGCTCCTGTCCCAGGGAATCAGCTCTGGGGACCAGGGTGTCCCGGTGGGTCACTCTGGGCTGTGTGTGCTGGGCAGGGGGTCCTGCTCCCCCCGTGGTGGCAGCAGCCAGAGGCACTGGTGTTGTGCTGGGGAGTCCCAGTGCTGGCTCCAGGCCGGGATCCCTGGCAGCTGGGAGCGCCGTGGCCGTATTTCCTCGCTCTGCTCCACGAGTAATTGCTCAGATGGGGACTTGGGGCGACTCCCATCCCTCTCCCGGCATGGTAATGAGTGAAGAAGACTCAAAGACAAATGGCTCATTAAGAAGCAGTGCTGCATTGCAGGATTTCTCATCCCACCAACCGCTGCATCAGCAGAGGCAGCACCTCTCACGCTCGCTCTCCCAGCCCTGAGAAGGAGCTGTCAGGCAGCTGGGGCTGGTGCCAAAATTAATCATGTGCTTAATAACGTGCCCGGCCCGTTGAACGGCCTGTCCTCGGCCTGCCGGTGGGAGCCCTGGGACACTGTGGGGTTGGGTTTGGTGCTGGGAAGCACCTGTGCTCAGTGAGGAGGGATGTGCCAGGGCAGGGCTGAGCCAGGGGAGATGCCCTGGCTCGGGGTGCCAGAGCCCTCCAGCTCTGTTGGGGTGTAGGGCAGCTGTGTAGGGCAGCACAGTGCTGCTGGCCCTTCTCAGTGGCCTCATAAACATTTCTTCCTCCGCTCACATTTGCAATTCTTCAGCTGCTCTTTGTCTCTCATGACTTTTTAAAAATCTTGCCTCATCCCTTTTTTCCAGCAGTGCCCAGTTGGATCCTGCCCCTCACAGCCCTCTTTGGGCAGTGCCCCCCTGCAGCCACTCTGTTTTCTTTTATTAACAGTGACTGGGTTTGATTTCCTGATTGCATTGAGCACATTCACTCTGATATTTGCATCTTGCTCACACTCCTTTCCTCTTTCACTTTTCCTCTTTCCTCTTTCACTTTTCCTCTTTCCTCTTCCCCTTTCCACTTTCTTCTTCCCCTTTCCCTTTTTCCCTTTCCCCTTTCCCTTCCCCTTTCCTTTCCCCTTTCTGTGCTAAATTAGCTGATCTCTTACTAAGCCCCTCTTTTCTTTTCCTCCAGGCTGAGCAAATTTCACTAATTCAGCCTCATAAAATAACAGAGCAATTAGTAATAAAATAAAATGTTTGCTTTCCACAATCCTGCTCACTTACAATGAATCGGGAAAGAGCAAACAGATTAAAAGCGTGGTGGAAAGCGACCTGGCAGTATTCCATATATTTATTTTCTTCCGACGACCGTAGATCAAATTTGTTCAGCCCCTAAGTGGGAAAAGCACTTTATTTTATTTTTTTTTTTCCCAGGCTCCAGCTCGTGGTGCCGGGCGCTCACGCTGCGTGTTTGTTCTCTCCTGCTTTCATCCCAAAGCCACACCGGTCCCCAGCAGGACCCGCTCTGGCAGAACCCGGCGCTAATTTGCCGAGCAGAACGGGCCGAGCTCGCGCCTCTCCTGGGCTGGAGGCTGGAAAAAAACCTCCCTTTGCTGACGCTGGAAGGCAAAGGGGTGGCGGGAGGAGGTTTTGTGGAGCGCGAGGCCGGATCTGGAGCAAATCAAAGTCGATGGCGAGGTGGCCGCTGGGCCGGCTCGGGCACCCGCTGGCAGGGAATTGCATAACAGGATGGGGCCGGGGATGGTTTTTGGGCTAAACTGGGTGAAACACGTGGCCGTGGCCGTGCAGAGCTGTCCCTGTCACTGCTGGTACAGGCAGCACTGGTGTGGGGCGGCCTCAGAGGAGGAGGGAAGGCTGGGCTGACAAAAAACACACAGGGAGGTGGGTCAGGGGA